CAGGTGGAAGACGAAATGTTAGGTTATATGTCAGCTCTAGCACGATAATGTTATAAGAATGATGGTAATCATAACACTTTTGGACTTTTAAGACTTTTATTAACTTTCTTGGAAGTCTGGAAGAAGAAGAACAGTCCCAGGTTAGCCTCTCATCAGCTCAGGTGATGTTTCAAAAACCAGAGACCTTCCATGGCAACACTTAATGAGACATGAATCTTCTGCAGTCATTGGCACCCAGTGTAGAAGTCACCCCTAGGACCTCATCGCAGGGCAGGAGAGCTACTAGACAGGCTCCATGTGCGGCTTGGGCAGGTCTCCTCTGTTAAACTCTGGGCCCTGGTAGGGAAGGGGTGAGACCCTGAGTTCTGGAATGGGGACGTTTCAGTGGCTAAGCATGAGAATGTGGAATCCCCAAATTCCCCTGAATTCACTTGCCAGGGCAGAAGCCCTTTCCTCGCTGGAGGAAAGCAATCTCCTTTTGCCTGAACACCATGCACATATATGATATGAGGCAGAAGTCTCACGCACGATGATTCTTGTCCTCTCAAGAACATTTTACATTTCCTCAGTACCTCCAGTTAAAGTCAGCTCTCAGCACAGTCTGAGAGAAGAAATCACATTTATGAATGAAGAGGAAAGAATTCACTCACTGAAGAGAATTCTCCTCCCTGATTGTGGTAGGTAGAAGAATGGGCCCCAAAGATATCCAACCTAAATCCTGGAATCTACTTTATATGGAAAAGGAGATTTTAAAGTTTGAGATCTTGAGATGGGGATGTCACTCAAATCATGTACATTGTTACCCACTAAGTAATTTCTCATCATCCACCCCCTCCCACCCCTCATATTTCTGATACCTGCATAGAATGCATAGTGGTCAAGTCAGGGTTTTCAGGGTTTCCATCACTCAAATCATGTGCACTGTACCCATGAAGTAATTTGTTCTCATCCTCCACCCCCCTGCTCACATTTCTGAGTTTCCATTGTCTGTCCTTCCACTCTGCATCCTTGTGTACACAGTATTGTGTCTGTTTCTCTGCTGAGGTTTTCATTCATTGAAAATATGTTCAATTTTTTACTTAATTGGGGTAATTATAACAGCAGTTTAAAATTTTTCTCTGTTAGTGTCAACATCTAGCTCACTTCAGAGTTGGACATGCTGGATTTCCTTTTCTTTGGCGAATGCATTTTCTTGATTCTTCATAGATTGGGTAATTCTGGACTGTGTCCTGGACAATACGCAGATGAACTTCTGCTGGAGATTCTAGAGGAGATTATTGATCCTGTGTGTTTTCCTGTGTGTTGATAGGGAATTCTCTAGGCTGGGCTTCAACTGCAAACTTGCTTCTTGGGTGCCAGCACAGGTCTCAGTTCAAATATTTTTACTTTTGCTGAATTTATGTTTTTCTATTATATATAATATCACATACACTGTATATGGAATTAAACTTATATTTTATTGTGTTGAGACAATTATCTACTAGGAAAAAATTAGAACATACACAACAATAAGCTCTAAATATGTTAAATATTTGACTTAAGATGTAAAAATACTAGAAAAACAACAGACATATATTTATACAGCATTTAGATGAAAAAACTCTTTTTTCTAAGCATGACATAAAACAAAGAAGAAAAAGTTCATAAAATACAAAACTTAATTTGGGCAGCAGGTACTCTAAGCAAAGTTAAAGACAAATGGGAAATTTGGAAATATGTTGGCAACATATAAGGCGAAGTATTACCGTTTTAAAACAGAAAGGGTTTCTACCAATCATTTACAAGAAGATAAACCACCACCAAATGGGCAAAAATAAAAGAAAAAAGAACAAGAAGTTTGCAAAGGAGAAATGCAAGTGACAAATAAATACAGTTATGTGCTGTATAATGATGTTTGGGTTAACAAAGTCGGCGTACATGGCAGTGGTCGGAGCAGTAGGCTATTGACAGGCTATGTCACATAGCCCAGGTGTTTAGGGGCCATGCCGCCTAGATTTGTGCAAGTGTAAGTGATGTTCACACACCACAATCACCTAACCATGCGTTTCTCAGAATGTATCCCTGTTGTTAAGTGACACATGACTGTACATAATAATGTATTTAACCACACACATACATGTAGAAATTCAAATTAAAAATAATACAATATTTCATCTAATTTTCAAATATAAAAGGATATATAACATCCAATGAAGTCAAAGATGTGATGTAACAAGCGTTTGCATACACTACTCTTCTGGATGTGAAATGGGGTACATTTATTTTGGCAAATACAAAGAATACTTACCCAACTTTAAATTTTGTATTTCCCTTAGTGCACATGTACTTATACACAAACAAATTACCTTCATGAATTTAGCCGCCGGAAGTAATTTTAGATATTCTGATAGATACATGGTTACTAATCTCAGTTTCACATAATTTCAGATATCAGATAGATATATAATTACTAATCTAAGTATTAGCAGTTGCAAAAACAGGAACTAAATGACATCAATAGGGGTTTGGTTAAACAGATGATAATTTTACATAAAATGGAATATTATACAGCCTTTAAGATGGATAAGGTAGATTTGTAGGCGCACATGTAAGAATTATACTATGTAATATAGACAGAGGGAAGTAAAATTACAAAATATTATGTATCGAATGTATGTGTGGGAGTGTGTGTTTGTGTGTGTTCACTTGTGTGGAAAGCTAAACGTGAAGTAGTTACTGTTAAAGATGAGATTTTTGTGGGATGGCGCAGAAGGGTGGTGATGACATTCCGCACTGTTTGGACGTTTACAACGTGATGTATTATTATACCAGAATCTTTAAGTGGCAAGGAGATTTTCAGTTTGGAATATAGAAAGGGAGAAAAATTCCAAAAGAAACAGCGTGTCCTAAGTTGATAAGGAAACCCTATGATCCTGGAGGGTGGACACAGAGCTGGGAATCAGGCCGTGGCCATTCTCTATCATGCTGGGTTCAGTTGCTCCACTCCCCCCGAGTGACAAGGAGGCCAAGACAAAAATCTGTCCTTGAGGCTTGAAGTCAATAGCAGCGGGAAGACATGCCAGAGGCGCCGGGGTCTTTGGAGACGAACAGCAGGCTCCGCTTGGCTGCAGGTGTTAAATGCAGCAGAGGAAGTGACGGTGGAAGAGGTGGTAGCTCTCTCAGGGTAAACAGATACAGTCCTTCCATTCATTCAAACTAACAGGCTCAGAGAACATTCGCAGTGGAAGAACCTTAATATTACCTGGTGCTTTTGGTCAAGAACAGACCCAGAGGAAGTAATCAGCTGACTCAAGGTGAAGAGCATCGTGAGTGAGAGAAGTGAGAGGAGAACCACCCACAGGTCTCCCCAGCAGTCTTCTTGACCCTTGAAGGACACTCACTCTTTGTGTCATGAAGTTTGTCTGATGACACAGTAAGACACAGAAAAAGACCTCTTTTCCTGATGTCTGTGACACGGTCAGCCAGCATGACTCAAAAGTAGGGTGTGTCAGTTGGGCAGTTCCCCACAAATTTTGATGACATTTTAGATACGTAGCTGGAGAAAATACCCAGCATTCTTCTCTTCTCTGTGTTCTAATCTAGTCAACCTTCTTCCTGACATTCTAGGAGCACCTCTGTTTAGAGAAAGAGAAAGCGAGTCCTCTCTGTACTAACTTTTCGTACCTTCAGCATGACTTAAAACGTCAATCACTTCCTTCTTCGTGGAAACGACAGACTACGATGATGGCGTCAGGGCCACTGGAATCAGTTATTTCTGGACAGCGTAGACTGGGAAGCCCACACCTCTCAGGTCTGACCCACTAATTTCATCCCCCACTTTCTTCCTCTGATCTTTTAAAAGTCCCAAGGCATCTTACCCAGTTCCTCCATTCCTTCTCCTGTCCCGTTCTGCGTGCCCCATTTGGTCCTCTCTAATACTGCCATGCTTCGCTTTCTGCCCCTCCACTTGCAGTTCTGTCCCAGCTGTCCATATTCCTCATCTCTCCTCTTCATTTCCCACCCACTCTCCTCCTCCAATCTTGCTTTGCTTCCCTCTTCGGTGTCTTTTCTCTTTATCTCTATCTTACCCCATCTGTTCAATCCCTCACCCACATAACATATCATGGAGAAGCCAAGTCACAGGTGCAAGGAAAGTTTATGGAAACGAGCTGGGAAACTACAGTGGCACAGCAGAGGTGCCAGGAGTGGGGAATGTGTCCTAAAAGGGAGGCTGAAAAGAAGATACAGCGAAATAATGGCCGGTCTAACAGCAAGCAAGTGGAGAGAATGCTCTGGGTTGGAGCCACGCTCCCCTCGTGAGAAGGGAAGTGTCGGGTGAGTCCCCACCATGTGACTTGCATTTACACTTATGGATTGTCTCGGCTAGGAGGCCTGGAGACTAAGAGTGAGAGGTTTGGGAAATTTCACATTGAGTAGTCTTGGAGATTTTGAAATATGTAAATAATGCTTAGACTATAAATTCATATCTTTTCAAAAAATTTGAAACACATGTGGAAATAAGATGAGGAAAATTCCTTTTTGTATCATAAGGTATATAATATATATTAATGGAGTTTCAACCTTTAGAAACAAGTCTGTGAGCTGCACACAGCTCTCGTGTGCACCAGAATTACTAGAGGACACATCATCATACAGCTTCCCCTCTGTCCCCTGGAGATGCTATGGGATCTTTGTTTAATGGGAATAGAAAGAGCTACTTTTTTTTTTGTTTCTGTTTGTTTCATTTTTGCTTATAGTGTTCTGATGGGAGAAATAAAACAATCCTAATCTCCAGACCTAGAAATAAAAAATTCTAATCGCTAGATGTTTTATAAACAGACCAAGCATACCTTAACTTGAGGGAAGAAAATGACATCGGGGGTGGGAGGAGTTTTCTGGACTGCTTCTGGGAACCCAGGCTGTCATTCCCCCTCTGACATGAGACTGTAAGCATTCACAGCTTCCCAGGTTTCCCCTCTAGCCAGAAAGGGGTGAACACAGTTCCTGAAGTTGTAATTTGTCTAAGGGGCTGGCTTGGCAGAACCTCTACACCCACTGCCTATAACTGGGCAGGGCTGCTTTAAGAAATGATAGCTATTCTTCCCTACAAAAAGTCCTTCTTATGCCCAGGGAGATAGAAACAGGTCTGAACCATGTTTTTCCTGGTTTCTGGCTCTAGAAGATTATTCCTTTAGCACAAAAAGACACAGGCAGAAAGAGTCAAGCCAGTGCCCTCCTCAAGCCAGTGCCCGCCTTCCCACGAGCATCCTCCAGAGGGCACTCTGCACGTCAGGGTTTCTGAGGCTGTAGATGATTGGGTTCAGCATGGGGTTGATGACAGTGTTGAAAATCCCAACAGCTTTGTCCTTGTCTGAAAGCTTGGTTGAACCTAGTCGCATGTAGTTAAAGATACCTGAACCATAGAATATGGCAACCACAGTGAGGTGGGAGCCACACGTGGAGAAGGCTTTTTTCCTGCCCTCTGCAGAGCGAATTCGCAGGACCGCAGCTGCCACATGGATATAGGAGATGACAATGAGAGCCATGGGGGTACCCGCCATTAGAAAACCCACAGCAAAAAGCAGCAGCTCATTGAGTTGGGTGCTGGAGCAGGAGAGCTGGAAGAGCTGCGGCAGGTCACAGTAGAAGTGATGGATCACATTGGGGCCACAGAAGTTGAGCGTGGACATGGCCACAGTGTGGGTCAGTGCATTGCTGAAAGCACAAACCCAGGACACAGCCACCAACATCCTCTGGACTGTCTGACTCATGCGGGTGCTGTAGGTGAGGGGCCGGCAGATGGCCAGGAATCGGTCATAGGCCATGGCGGTCAGCAGGAAGCAGTCCGTCCCCGCCAGAAGGTGGAAGAAGAAGAGCTGGGAGAGGCAGGCGTCATAGGAAATTGTACGCTTGTGGGACAAGAGACGGCCCAACATTGAGGGAACAGTGACAGTGATGCATCCAACATCCAGTGCTGATAGGTTCCCCAGGAAGAAGTACATGGGCGTGTGGAGTTTGGGCTCCACCAAGACGGCTGCCAGGATGCTGAGGTTGCCCCCAATTGTGACCAGGTAGGCAAAGAGGAAGAGCACAAAGACCACAGACTGCACCTGTTCTGTTTGCACGAGGCCCAGCAGAATGAACTCAGCAACAGCCGTCCTGTTGGTCCCAGCTTCTGGCTCCATGAGTTTCTGTAAGGACATGTCCCAGCAGGGGAGGCATCAGTCCACTCAGTTCACATTAACGTTTTAAACCATTTATGTTCAAATCCCATGGTGGGTCCCCAGGCTGTCCCTCCCTCATTGACCTCCTCCATCACCTCAGTGTCTTTACCTTGCTCTTGGTTGAGATGCCCAATGCCACCACCACCTATCCCACTCACCCTCTGCTAGCTGAAAAGGTCAGAATACCTGGGAAAATAAACTAATATAAAAGATCTAATTTATAACATGAGGATTATAGTTAATAAAGTACATTTTATTCAAGATATTTGTAGATGACTAGATTACAGCTGCTCTTGCCAGAGGAGGGAAAACGGGTAACTGTGTGAAATGATGGATATGTTCATTTGTTTTACTGTAGTAATCATTTTACTATCTACATGTATCTTATAACTTCATGAGGTGAACCTTAAATATACACAATAAAATTTGCTTAAAAAAGGCAAAGGAGTTTCCTTTGAATGTAGTGGGTAAGATATTTAACATATCCAGCCCTTCAACTCATTTTTGTGGTGAGAATGTTAAAATATATCCTTTTATACAAGCTGGATGACATGATGCTAACTGAAATAAACTAGACAGAAAGACAAATACTTTACAATTTCACTTACATGTGGAATCTAAAAAGTCAATGGCATAGAATCTGAGACCAATAAGCAGACTTCAAAATATAAAAATTTATGAGATTTTCAGAGAAACTAGAAAATATTGAAACTGTTTCAAGGCTTCGGAAATTAGTGAATATCAAGTGAAGGTATAGCAAGAATCAGAGAGAAGATATCCACGATTCTGGATGTCAGAAAGACCAGCCGAGCACATTTCTTCACAGTCAGGAACCACACTCTGAAGTGTCAATCCAACACTCCTTGTTCAATAAATTGCTAGTGTTATTACTGTTACTTAAATCCTTACAGTGGACTTTGACTAACAACTTAATTTAAAATTTTTTTTTCTGTGCATATTGTCTGCTAAAACCATATTGTCCTCTCTAAAACCAAAGTTGTAATCATGGCCCGTGGGTTGGCTGCCGCCGTGTGTGGTAAGGGTTCTACTTTGCACAGTCACTGGCATTCTGCTTGTCTTTCATTCAGGCATGGTAGACTCACCAATGCCTTTAAGACTGTGTCTTCAAATGAAGAAGTCATGTACTTGGAAAGCCATATTGAATTATGCCACACTCTGGATCAAACAAATATCAGTGTCTTTATTGACCAGAGACGAGTAGGGCTAGAGCTTCCTGAAGTGCAATGTCATACCCTTGTATCTGAAATCAGAAGACAGGAGGCAGTTGGATCTGATAACTCTGACAGAAAGGGAAGCATGATGATTGCCTGAACCAGGGCAGTGAAATTCAGGGCCAGGGGTGGTTAAGAAAATCAGATCCCAGAAATCAGAGTGCTGCAGTAGTATGGTTGATATGACTGTTTTGGGGCTTGTTCACCAAAATATCCTTAAAAATCCCTTGTTCATAAAAGTGGGAATGGTTGGTGGCATGGTCTCCTTTGGTCTCAGATTGGATCTGAGAAGCAGAGGAGGCAGGACCGAGTAAGACGCCACTCAGACAAGCGGATTGCGTAGTGTTCAGGTGAGACTGTAAAAGCAAGAAAATGGCATTGTCAGCAGTTCCTCAGCTGTCTGTTGGCATTGACACTAGAGAAGTCCAGGCAAAATGTACTCAAAACACCCGGGAGCCAAGACATGCACCTGTCCCCAACAAAACCCTCTCATGAAACACTGGCTCAGAAACCTTTCAATTCATTTAGACCTCAAAAGGGAACCAGCACAAGGTCTAGTTAAAGATACTCAAGAAAAAAATGGAGAGGGCAGAGGAAAGAAACCAGGACAAACAAATGCTAGGTTACAAACACTCAGAAGAAAAATGGTGCTATGGAGCTGCTGAATAACTGAGAAACAGAAAACAAGCGTGAACTTAAAACATGCAATAAATCATTCATCTCTGTATAACAAGAACCCAAGGCAGAGATACAAGACCTCAGGGAAGAGTTTCAAGATACCAGATGGAGATAAAATGTGAGATAACAGAACTCAGGCAAAAAATGGGCACAGAGGAGCAAACAATTAGACAAAAGAAAACTTTCCAGAAATAGCCGAAGTCTGCCTTCTAGAGACTGAAAAGTCACAACATGTACCAGGAAACACGGAAACAGAGGTTCCATTCTGAGATAATCCTAATAAGGTTATTGAAATTAAAAAATAATCCTTTGGGTACATTGGCAGAGGTCAAGTCACTTACAATGGAATGAGAAGACACTTATCTCATATTTCTCTATAGAAGTATTCAAGGCAAGAAGAAAATAGAAAGCTGCCTATAAAATCTTCATAGAAGGAAAATGTGACCAAAGAATTTTCTATTGAGACAAACCGTAACTTGAATGTGCAAGCAACTTTTTTAGACACTCAAAAACTCAAAAAGAGTTGTTCTATGAGCCCAATAGAATAAACTTCCAGAGGATAAACTTCATCCAACAAAGAGAAGAGGAAGGAAAAAGAAAACAAGAGAACTGATAATAAGCACTGAATATCTTTTACTGCAAGGCGTATATGGGGATTGCGGTTTCAGAACAAAATATAAATGTATGAGCAATGCCAATGTAGAAATGACACATCTAATAAAGTTGAGAGAGGAGGAGAAAGAACATGTAAGAT